GAAAAGGCAGTACACTTTAAGAATATTTTTTTGTGAACAAATATTTAATAATTTAAAGATGCCTACATTTGCCAAAAACCATGGAGAATGTAGAAAATCTGTTTGTGTTATCTGTATGAAGAAAGGTGATCAAGAATTGACTGAAAACTTCAAAGCTAAAATTCTTCAACAAATTCAGAAAGAAATCAACTTCAATGATAACAGAGTACCATTGGCGACCTGCATCTCCTGCAGATCTCACATTGGAAAGCTGTGTGATGGTAAAACAAATGTTGTGCCTCAGATTTATGACTTTGAATCAATTTCGATCAAGCCTCTTACTAGTTTTTCTACAGTCTGTGAGTGCTTGATTTGTAAGATTGCCAAACTCAAGGGAAAAGAAAGGCATCCATTAAGCAAGGTTCAAGATTCAGCACCAAAAGTTCCCCAACAATCTTCGCAAAGCCTTTGCAGAAAAGCATTGTACTAAGTGCTTGTCAGTTATTGGTCGTGGGCTTCCTCACTACTGCACTCCTGGAACACGCCATGAAAATTTGAGAAGAATGGCTGCCTCTGATCCCATTGGTGCAGAGCAAGTTGCAGCAACAGTTTTGGCATCAAAAAGTGCATCTCCTCATGGCACCATCAGACTCAGTCAACCTTGTGGAAAGTTATTGCCATTGAGAAAAGGTAATAGTGCTTTTGAACTTTAAATGATTAAATTAAAATATAAATATTATCTATTTATTTTTCCATTAAGCAAGGTTCAAGATTCAGAATTTCAAGGTTCAAGGTTCAAAATTTTATTTTTAAATTAAGTAAGTTTTTGAAAAATATTAATATTTTTTGAAGGTCATGAACTATTTTTTAAATGGAATTTTTTTAATTAGGACCTTCATCAGCACAGCAACTTTTCAAAGAGCCTCTCACAACGCAGAATATCGTTCAAATTCAGCAGAATATAGGACTTTCAAACAATGGGATGAGAAAACTTGAATCGGCACTAAATCAAATCAGTCCTATCAGATTGGTGGAGCCAAGTTTTCAGCAAAAATTCGCTCAAGCAGGCCAAAAACTTTGTGATCACTTCACTGTGAGCAGCATCACTCTTGCTGAAAACAATCAAATATCCCAAGTTGTGCATTGTCAAAACCTCAGTAGTCTTAGTGATGTCTTCTTAGCATCAAGAAAGATGACAGATTCTGCAATTTTGAAACTAGGGATTGATGGTCGAGGATCTTTTTTGAAAGTCAGCTTCACACACATCATTGTGGATGAAGGTGAGACACCGCCACATAGCCCACTGCAGAAAACAATCAAATTGATGTCTCCACAAACAACAAAATCAACAAGTGTCAAGCAGCAACTACTGGTAGCAATTGCACAAAACACTCCAGAGAACTACCATAATGTGAAGGCAATTTTTGACCTCATCCAAGTACAAGAGAAATGTCAAATGGATTCTCTTGTCATATCATGTGACCTAAAGTTGGCAAATATTCTGTGTGGCATTCAATCCCATAGCAGCAAACACCCATGTTGTTGGTGTGATGTTTCGTCTTTAAACCTCCAAAACTGTGGAAGTCCTCGAACTTTTGGCGAGATTAGGAGACAACATTTTGAATTCATCAACGCAGGAGGAGATACAAGAAAATCAAAGGAGTTCAAAAATGTCATTCACGTACCATTGGTTGATTTTCCTGATCACAAGTTTGTGCTTGAAGCTATCCCTCCAATGGAGCTCCATTTGTTACTTGGAGTAGTAAACCATTTGTATAAAAATCTTTGCAAAATTTGGCCAGGGGCCGAGAAATGACCAGCTTCACTTCATATTCCTATTCAGCCCTACCATGGTGGACATTTCAATGGGAATGACTGCACGAAGCTCTTGAGAGGTTTAGACAAGTTGCAATTGGTCACAGGATACAACAATTTTAGTCAAGCTCATGACTTCATGCAAACACTTGCACTATTTAAGGATGTGGTCATTTCTTGCTTTTGCAATAATTTGGATCCTGATTATGAATCGAAGATCTCCAAGTTCAAACAAAGCTACATCCGCCTACCCATTTCAGTTACTCCAAAAGTACATGCAGTGTTTTACCATGTACCTTAGTTCATCAAAATCAAGAAAACAGGATTGGGTCTCTTCAGTGAGCAGGCAACAGAAGCTCTGCACTCCAATTTCAAAGTTCATTGGGAGAGATACAAACGAGATTCCTCAAATCCAGACTATGCCAGCCAACTCCTGAAGTGTGTGATCGAATACAACAGCAAGAAAATCTAGATCTAAAGAACAGTGTTAAAAAAATCCTAAGAATACTCTTAACAGATTTGTTATATTTTAGTGCCTTTATTTTGTTCCAGATGATTCGTCTCTAGAGAGCATTATAATTTTTAATGGAATTATAGAAATTGTTGTTTATCTTCTAAATGCGATCATTAAGAAAATAAATGAATAAAATAAAAAAGCTCCCAATTTATGTTTGTAACATTTTTTGTTTTATGATAAAAAATCAGAAATGTATTTTTGTACTACAAATAGGCTGCCAAATGTTGCTTAAAATTCTTATTTTCTTCAAAACTTCAAGGTAAAAAATCTCCATTGGATGTTAATGCAGGATTTCAAAATCACTCTGTATGGCCATCCATTGTTATGTACTATCCCCCCTTAAAAGGGTTTTCATAGGGTATTTCATTGATATTAGGGTCCCAAATTTACAAACCGTGACAATAGACTGTACCTTTAAACGGTTTTAAGTTCTACGCGTTTAAAAATTTAAAACGCTCAAAAGCGTTTAAAAGAATTAAGTATTTACGACGATTAAATTGCGTCAGCGACGTTTCTTATTGTACGTAATTTTTTATTATTAATAATTTACATGTTATATTTCGAACTAAATAGTTCAGACGTCATCAGTTTTAAAATCTTTACGCACTCAGTTGTAAAATGACGTTGTAAAATGTGATGTTTGTAAATAGTATATCAAACTGTAAATATTTTATTTGCAGTCAGATAAAAAATAATGAAAAAATAAGAAAGAATTTAATAGTGTTACTGGCTTTAGGCAATTTCCCATTTACTTTTTATTTATCTTTATCAAAAATATATTTTACTGATAACTAGTTTTGGATATATTTTCTCTTTTAGAAAAGTATTAATGTCGAAAAATCAGTAGAAATTTATACAGTAGGCAACGTGGTTGGAAAATAAATTTTGTCGCAATAAGACAATTTATAAGGAACAACCAGAGACTTATTTATGGGAGGGAGGCCGATGGGCTCAGGCTTCGGGCGCATGGTTTTGATAGGGCACCAGCCTTCAGAATGGTAGAATCTTAGAAATCGTAAAACAGTTATTTTATATCATTATCACAAAAATTGTTATTTTATTATTATGTCCAAATCATAGGTTGGCTCATAAACCTACTATATATCTCTAAGCTTTTTGTGGCAAAATTTCCATCCAGCAGGAAAAAAGAAATTGTCAAATTTATTTTTCTGCAATGCTGTTTTGACCATGTTTCGAATTACCCCGCGTTCACCATTTCCCCACTTTCCCCTAATTGTTAATTAAATCTGGTTGAAGTTGTTTACGATTTTGAGAGATACATCTTAAAAAAAAACAATCAAGGTTTTAAAAATTATTAAATAGTTTAAATAAATTTTCGGAGTAATGTAGGAGTAGTTTAAGTAGATACCATATCTATTTTGTATTATTCCAAAAATTATAAAAACCACCTAAATACGGACCACACTTAGTTAAACTTCTTTGTAAATATAACAACTGCTTTACATTTCAATTCTTTGCTAAAGTTGTTTCTATATAGAAGCGATTTCAGCTTCTAATATAGAAAAGAAAATATGTATACCAGTTGTTACACTTAATCCAACACTGCGTATTTCGTGTTTCTTTAAATATACTATATTTAAAGAAACAAACAGATTTTGTCTTAATTTTATTGTGTAAATTTAAATAAATGCGCGCATGTTTAGTTTTTCTGATAAAATATACTAATGAATCCGGGGATTTAAAGCACAATGTTTTTTTTTTATGAGATTTGCAATCTGATAAATTAGTGGAAAATCTAAAAAATCTGAATGCCGGATAATTTTCCATATCATAGGCAAAAAAAAAAAATTTATTTGGCTATGATATGGAAATTCCCCGGCAACTGGAGACGAAATTTTTTGCAAGAGTCTGGCCGCAGCCAGTTGGGAGACAAAAGCCACTGGAGGCGGCCTCCAATTTATCTTGGCTCAAAAATAAACTCTGGGGGTGACTGCCAATCGCTTTCTTTTCCTAATGGTGTTGGCCTCAAAAACATTTTACTTAAAAAAAATATGTTTGGAAGTGGTTGCGAATCGGGTGGCGTAAACCAGAATATTTTGCCAACAAATATTGTTTAGAAGGCAGTCAAAAATTGCAGTGAAGAAAAAATCGAAGCGAGAAAATTTCCGCAGTTTATTAACAACTGGTTTAAACCTCCCTATTGGTATCAGAAATGCTTCTGTTATGTTTGATAAAATATCGTATGCTTTTTTTTACCATAATTAGAAAACGCTTCCGACATGCTTATTTGTTTTGCGTGCTAATGAAATTAAAATCCGGCAATTTAAAATTAATTTATGATCTTACGTCATCCGTATTGCACTAGGCACATATTGCACTAGATAATTAAATTATATTAAAAAGGTCAGAATAAATTTATAAACTAATTGAATTTTTATTTTTAACTTTAAATATTTGCATTAAACTTAATTTGATCATGAAATCTTTTAACCTCAGGAGGATAAAAGAAGTATTATTTACTTTGGTCGCAGTTGCGTTAAAATAATTTAGATCAGGAACTAATTTATCATCAAGTAAAAAATCAATAGTTAAAAAAAAATTGAAAACTTTGATTTAAAATAGTCTGACTTGAGTTCATTTTTGTTGTTGAAAAATATGTAAAATAAAAGATTTTCATCTTATAAGTTGCGCGTTATTAATTTGTTTAAAGTTACTTTAGCATACTTACCTTTTGCTCCCAATTCTTTTGCGTCTTTAAATAGGTTACCTCGTAACTTCGAGTTGTCATCAACGTACAAACTCTTGTTTCTAAGCTTCATAGTGTTAAATTTGTTTTTAACAAAATTTTTTAACTCCTGGCTCAAGCATTATTATCTTTTATTTTAATAACGTAATCTCAACTTGTTTTTACGGCATTTGTTCTCACTCAGTAACTACGTGGTTTAACACTTCTAACGTTGTTTTGACGTTTGGCCAACGTATTGTGCTAATGTGGTTTTTCAGCTGTTTTCACCATGTTATTATTTTTCATTTCTCATATTACTTGTGTCTGTAATTTGAACAAATTTCTTGCTTAAGTGGAATTGCCCTAAAGAACGACAGAGTCTGTTTATAAGAGTTTGCTCCCGAGGTTAGTTCGTAAACGTAAGTTCCAATGGGAAATGGGCACAACTTGTCAGAACAGGTTAAGACAGATTGAATGAAACACCAATCGCCTAATTTACAAAGTTGTCAATCTTCTGAGTGTTGAAAATGACAATTTTTAATATTTATGATTCATCATACTTTTATTTAGAACATTTTGATTGGCTTCATATAAATAAAATATTTCTACTTTGAAGTAAGTTGTAATCAAATAAATGATCGTTCAAACAAATTTATATTACAGATGTTAAAAATAATTAAGCTTTAAGTTCAACAATAGAATCAATATAAATATCTTAATTCGAATTAATGATGAAACTCCTTTTTACGCAATTGTTTTTAAGATGTTTATAAACGGCTAAAAAAAGACAGTTAAATTTTATATTCGGCACATACGTTTCCATTAAACTTTATATTTGGCACATACGTCTCTATTATATGAAATCTTATCTGGTTATATATTATGCATCCTAACTTAACTAATAGTTATGGTCAATTAATTAAAATATTAGTTTTTAGATGGTATAAAAACTAAACACTTTTAAAAATGTATGTGTTTACGTATAACGCTTAGTGTTATTACCCAATTATAAAGTCAACCCTAACTATCGACTTCCTGGCCCATAACCCAAAAATAAATAGACTTGGTGTAGATAAGGTAGACAAGGTAGACCAAAGTATAAGTATGAGGAATTTAAAGCAGAGTAATTAAATGGGGAACAGTACAAATTTTCAATAAACTAGTCAAAAATAGGTGACAATATTTTATATCATCTAACACAATTGTTCAGATTCTTTAAGTAACGGACATTTCTTATTGATTTTCTAAAGAATGTACATTTCTTATTGGTTAACTTTCTCAAAATTCCAAACATTATTAATACAAAGTGTAATTTTAGAACCATTCTATCTCTCCGGTATAAATTCTCGTTCTCAAATAGTTTACCTATTTATATAGAATCGATCAGCAAACCTTCTCCAAACTAACAAGCTTATAAGTTTAAACTAATAAGTTTGGAGACTAACAAGTTTGGAGAAAGTTTGCAGATCCATTTTTATGAATAGGTAGATTATTAATTTATAAGTACGACTAATACGACAATAGTCGTTAAACTGTTGTCGTAGTAGTACCGTACTGTTGTCGTAGTTACCGCACTACGAAGCGATAAAATTTAACTAGCAGTATTGGACAGTGTTTGAGCATATGAAAAACATATTAATATAAATAACAATACAATAAGGTCATTACAGAAAAACAAAACTGAATCTTCAAAATCAACCTCGTGGCTGTCCGTTTAATTATGTCAACAATTTTTTCATAATTTTTACCCCCCCCCCCACCCCCTCCATTCCGCTTGTCAAAATTCCAAAGCCCGCTTCCCCCTCTACTATTAAGTTACATCTATTCTTCTTTCCCTTTCCCCTCCCTAACCTCATTAAGAAAATTAAATGAAAGAAAGTATTTTTTTTTTAGATAATTTAATTTTTTTTTATAAAGTAACATTGTTGGCGTTAACTTAAATTAACCTAAATTTAACCTAAATCCGACATGATAAAGATTACGTCATGTAATGATGCAATAAACCCTCGGTCGGGCGCGCTTGATCAAACTGATACAAGTCAATTATTTTTACCTCGTACGAGTTTTTGACTTAGTGTTTTTCGTAGCTTCATTTTTTCTCTTCTTTTTTGATTGTACTTCATCAAACGAGATTAAATCAATTTGTTTTGTACTGTTTCTTATCATTTTGTATAAACTGATATATTGCGCCTTTGTACGTTACGTTTTTTTACGTTATATTTTGTAACTTTGAGAAAAGTAATATTTTTTTGTTCGGGTAAATAATTTTTAATTTAATTAAAAACATAATTAAATATATAAACTCAATATATAAGTTTGATTGATATATTAATGTGTTATATTTTAAATCTTCAATATTATTTTCAAATTGAGTAATGGTGCAAGTAAAAGTCGGCGGAGAAAAGAATTGGCCGAAGACGCATGTACCAACTCGAAGAATGTGTATTTGTTTTTAAAAAAATCACAAAATACAGTTCAAATTGAACCAGCAAACTAATCTCAAAGTGTGCGTGACAGTGATAACATTGAAAATGAAGTTGTTCCTATTGCAGAAGACCCAATTTCGGAACAACAACCAGCAAGAAATTTAAATATTGTAAACCAGGAACGGGTTGAACCTAAAATCTCATTACATGTAAATGCAAGTGCAAATAAAATTCGAGATATGGAACCAGAGACAACAGATCAGGTAATCCAGTCAAATTTATTGACATTGTGAATATCAACAAGAAGTCAAGTGAACTCTTTTTTTAAGATTACTTGCTTTGAAATTCCAAATAATATCGTTCAAGACTCTAATCGTAATGCATTTTCTTATCGTTTGTTAAACAAAACTCTTGCAACAGAGACTGGTTGTGGTGGATTATTAAAAAACAATCTTTGTATTGTGCACCTTGTTTTCTTTTGAACAAAAATGCTGCTAATGTGTCATTTTTCTCTAGTTCTGCCGGATGGGGCATTAGTAGATGTTGGAGAAGATTGGAAGATCGTATACCGTTGCACGAAAGTTCAATTTACCATAAAGAAAACTATGTTGTATGGAATTCTGCTAGTAGAGCAGCATTACGTGAAACTTCAATGGATAATTTACTTCTATCTGAACTCAAGACTGAAACTAATTATTCCAACGTATTCTAGATGTTATTATTTTTCTTTCTGAACGTGGATTGACACTTTTTGGTTCAAATCAACAATTCGGTAGTCGAGCAAATGGAAACTTTTTAGGTATTATTGAATTACTTAGCAAATATGACCCACTTTTAGCTGAGCATGTTAAACGTGTTCGAGAATCACAACAGTGTAAGCAGCGATTGCAAGCTCATTATTTTTCAACACGAATTCATAATAAATTTATTGATACTCGTGGTTCACATGTTCAAACAGCAATCCTCCATAAAATTGTAAAAACAAAATATTTTGCAATAATGGTTGATGCTACTCCAGATCGCTCGTACAAAAAGCAAACTAGTTATTCCGTATGTTAAAATTTTAGATATTTCAAACTTGAAGTTTTCAAACTTAAAGAAAGATTTATTTTATTTGAAATTTCTCAAAAAAAAAACTGGAAGAAAAATTGCTGCTCAAACACTAAAAATAATGAAAACTTTGAAGCCTGCATTGGTCAAGCTTACGACAACGGTGCTAAATATGGCTGAAAAGTATAACGGGGCGCAAGCGGTTTTGATAGAACAAAATCCAAACTGTATGTTTTCTAGTTGCGGGATCCGCGCATTAAATTTAGTTGATCTCGATTGCGCTGAATTATGCAAAGAAGCAGAAACGTATTTCGGAACAATTCAGCAAATGTACAATTTATTCAGTAGCAGTCCTCTAAGGTGGGAAATTCTAGACAACATCTTTCTTTTTTGTTGCATGAAATGTCCAAAACAAGATGGTCAGCACGGATTGATGGTGTTAAACCAGTTGCACAACATTTGAATGCAGTAAGAAGTTCTTTAAATTAAATTGGGGTGCTACATTTATCAGCCTAAATGGAACTCAATGCTTTTCAAAAGTATATTTCCAAATTTGATTGCATTTTGATGTCGTCTATCTGGATGAAGCTACTTACAATGATTCATAAGACAAATCTAACCATCGAGGCATGCCATGCTACTCTTAATGTTGAAAATGATAACATTGAAAATCTATGTAATGACATTCAAAGGTTGCGTGAACAATTCGTCAAAATTTGTTGCAAGAAGTATTGGTGTTTCATGTGAGCTTTTAACTAACCGTTTTTTCCCAAGTCAAGATGATGCCAAGCTTTATTTTAAAATCAATTTATATTTTGTTATCATTGACTCAATTTAATCTGGCCTCACGCGACGATTTCAGTCGTTACAAGAAATTTGTAAACTTTTTGGATTTCTATGGCAATTTAAAAATTTGAATGACCAAGATCTTGTAATGCTGCTCAACATTTTCAGCATAAATATGACAAAAAAATCTTACAAGAACTTGAAAATGAGGTTTTATTTCTTAAAAGAATCTATGGTGTTAATTTTAAACTAGTCTGTACACCAAAAAAGTTGCTGGAGGAAATTCTAGGACTTGGTCTTTCAGGTGTACTTCCAAACATTACAATTGCATTACGCATTTTTATCAACTTGCCTGCATTGATGGCTTCGGGTGAACGCACAGTTAATGTTTTAAAGCAAATAAAAAACTATCATCGTTCAACTATGGGGCAGGAACGGTTGAATGGACTCGCTATGCTGAATATAAATTGCGATATTGCACAAAAACTGGATTTTGGATGAGAAAACGTACAAAAAGCGTCACACCTGTGGGTGACGGTCTGTGTATTTAACTGCATTTATTCTGAAAGTTACACATTTATCTGGTCCCGAACTACCTGAAGACTTAAATGGCTTTGCATTAACTTGCGTCGCGTTTGCACAAATCTTTCTTTTTGGGGCCTCCAATTTATAACTGGCCCGTGCCTCTCAAACCTCTGAGAGGGTCTGTATATATATAATCTCAACAAATCTAAAAAGTTGTGTAGACTTCCATCCTTGTATATATATATATATATATATATATATATATATATATATATATATATATATATATAT